ATCAGAAACTCTGGGGAGCACGGTTCTATTCTGACACACACGGTCACCAGGAGTCAACTACAGTTGGTTTGGTCTGGTAGTTGCTGTCAAAAATCAGACAACAGAAAAGTGGGTGAAGGGAGATGTCGGATAGTGTAAGATGTGACAAAATGATAATTTATAAACTATTGAGGGATCGTCAGGGAAGAGGGCAGGAATGGAGGGGGGGAAATGAGCTTATACCAAGGGCTCAAGTAGAAAGAAAATGTTTTGAGAATGATGGCAACAAATGTACAAATAAATGTGCTTGACACAATGGATTAATGTATGGATTGTGATGAGTTGTATGAGCCCCCAGTAAAATGATTTAAAAAAAAAACCCACCCAAAAAACCTATAATCCCACTCCCCAGACAGCCACACTGTTAAGCTTTTTTCTAGGTTTTTTGCTGTGCTTTAAAAATACATAGAGTTTATCTATGTTTTTTAAAAAATCAATAATTTTCAAACTTTTCCAAATAGCCCTGAGGGCAGAAGTATGGTGGAGGACTTGTCGAAGTGGCTTAGAACGAGTTTTTCTTGGCTCCCCACCCTCTCCGTCGCCTGCTTGGGGCTATGTGCTTACTTGGAGCTATGACGCACGGCCGCAATCCCACATGGGGACGAGGCGATGGCCAAGAGCGCTGTCTGAGCGGGGAGTCCTGTGTCAATGAGCTCGGTGTCTATAAGACACACTTTTGAGTGTTCAAAGGCCACTGCTGATATCTACAGAGCCGTGTTAAGTAAAGACTCAAAGTGTGTCACTGTTCGCATATATGATTGTACCATGAAGTACCGATGAATGTCTGTTGCCAAGAGGTCACCTGTGAAATCAATGTTTTGTTTCAGGCCGAGGTGGCCCAGGATCTTCGCAGAGAGTGCCAAAATCTGGGCGTCCCAGTTCCTTGGATGGAGATCATCATGATGGTTACCACCGAGACGAACCTTTCGGGGGCCCTTCAGGCAGTGGCACCCCTTCTAGAGGTGGCAGGAGTGGTGGCAGTAACTGGGGTCGAGGGAATAACATGAATTCTGGCCCACCGAGGCGAGGAGCCTCAAGGGGTGGAGGGAGAGGCCGGTAGAAGTTGGGGGTGGGCATCCCTAGGCCTCCCTGGACAGTATTTAAGACCTTCTTGGACTCACAGAGAAACACAGTGAAAGCTGCCCCGTGGTACCCCTGAATTCTTCTCTGCGGCCACTGAACCCAGAAGTCCTGATGAGTTCCTCTCCGTGAAGAGATGACTGCTAGTTACCTGTTCTGCTGGCCTTGTTTTTTTGTCTGTCCACATTATTTTGTGAAGATGAAAGCTGGAGTCTTTTTTAAGTGTGTGCGACAAGGAGCACCTCCACAAGCTTAGGTTCATGTCTCCTTGGAAGTTTGTTTCTATATGTACAGTTTGTCAGAGGAAAATGTTTTTGTATGAATACAGAATGTGATTTATGCAAGAATTAACAGAAAACAACTAGTCGTGAAGTGCTTACTTTCAGGAAATACTTAGGTTTCCATAAAACATACCCGTTCATTGGTGCACAGTTGCCTATACATAAGAATACTTAATGGAAGTCTCATCTAAACCAAGTTCTTTCTTTTACACAATTTTTATTTTCTTTTTATTACACGATAAGAAATACTTTAAAATGACTTCAAACTAAAATGAAGTGTAAGTTCAAAGCCTTAGACATTGAACGATCCAAGTAGACTCTGGGTAAACCTCCTTACTTGAATTGCACCGTGCATCTAATGAGAGGAACTTGAGTGATGTCAGCTCTCGGTTGCCATAAATACAGGAGTAAGTCTAGAAGTATTGCTACATAGAAATCCTTACTAAATGAAGAGCAAACTGTGAAGCTCGTTTCTCGGCATAACCTCCATGTAGGTCTGTATTCACATCTGAATGTGTGTTTCCATCTTTCCGACCCTCCCCTGAAGAGTCCCTAGCCTTTTCAGTGTACACCACAGCAAAATGGTAATGTTGGCATCCTCAGACGAAACATTTCATGGTCCTTTAGGTGTGTTTTGAGTTTTGGGAACAAAAAGGTCTGAAGGAGCAGATCATGACTTTAGGGAATGTCATTCTCATAGGACAGTTCTTGCTACTCTCAAAGAGCAGGTGCTTTATTGTAATGAAACAAACAAACAAACAATCCTCGGGGCACATTTCCTGGTCTTATTCTCACCAATGCAGTTTTCAGTGTAACACTTCTCCACAAACTTTGTGATCATCCTGTGTCGTTAGGAAAGCTACCAAGACGCCTCCTTTTGGTGTCCCCCAGGCTATTGCTAGAAACTTCTGAACTCATCTGAGGTCTTAACAAACTTCCTTTAAATGCTTGGTCTGCCTGGGAACTTTTGTGTGGTAGACTTTCTCTGAACTTGCTGCAAAGTTTCCATGTTTTGGGAAGATGTTGAGTTTTGTAATTTTCTCCCTCAACTCACAATAGTTCTTTACCTTCTTCCGTTGCACAAAACGTGTTCTTTGGGAATGCACCCTCACAAGATTAAGACATAGCACTGGCCTTGTTGGCAGCCGTTCTTATGTCTCAGAGACATGTTTACACAAATTTTATGTATGCATGAACTGGAATCCAGGTAGCAATGTTTCTAACCTACCCTGGTAATTTCACAGATTAATTGAGTTGAAAAGGAATAACCCAAATATTACCTATTTGTACAAAACGGTTCAATAATCTATTCTATACGAACTGTGTAAAAATAACAATGCATAAGGCAGAGAACAATTTAAAAAGACTGTAGTAGGAATTATTTTGTCCATGATAAATTCCTTCAATTTTAAATAAATTGGGTTTTAAGTAAACTTTCTTCAGTTTTAAATAAAATTTGATCCCGTTTAGATTGGAAGTCAAAAGTCCAATTTGAAAGAAAGCTGTACATATAAAGACCTCTTAACTTGTTTTTCAATCAATGTAAAAAACAGTACCCACTACCTTACTTCTATGGGAAAACAGACACACTAGATTTAGAACTTGGAGACTCCAAATGAGTAATTTTCATTTTTCTTTGAAATGAAAAATGCCTTATGTATCAGACTCACACTGAACAAACACTATTAGGAGGCTTAAACTTACTTTAAATTTGTGGACCTTCTTATGTTGTCCATAAGCTGGTATAACTTAAAAAGGTGAAACTATTAAATTCTGAGGAGCTAAAAAGGAATCTGTACCCCTATCTCTTTCCTGAGATTGATGTGCTAAGAATTTGATTCTCTCAATATTTATGCTTTACTTTGAAAAACACTGTACCTTAGTAAGGAAACCAGATCATATTTTGGGTACAAATTCAATTATGAAAACCCTCTACATTATGCATTTAGTACTTAGGATATATAAACCTATATATATATATCTTTATATGACTTTTAAAAACATCAGTATCAATACATGTATCAGACTGCTTTGATTTTTGAATTTCATAATGCTTGACTTAAAAATGTTGAGAAATTTAAAATTTTTATTTTAAAAATAAAATGGCATCAAGATAGAAAACATTTAAGCTAGGACCATTCTAGAGCAACTACTAGAATGTAAATATAACTAAAAGGCTACAAAGATTTTTCTCAGTCCCCATGCACAATGCTAATCTTGATAAAGCAGTTAAATAACTTAGCACCAGTACTTACACCAGCTCTTACAAGCACTCGGTTGAGGTATGTCGCCCTATTTCTAGGTAGTGGGACAAGAGAATATTATGTGTGGTAGAGGGTAGCCCGCAAACTTTGTGTGAATGTCGGTCACAACCATGTCCCTTTCTGGAGTAGGATGTACACAGTGAACCTCGTGTGGGGCAAAAGAGGTGTGCTCGGCACACTTAAAATATCCTTGAAATCTAGTACCAGAAAATAACAGTTGTCTTCAAATTCTGGAAACCAGTATACAGAAACGTGGTTTGGGAAACTTTTAAAATGACTGATTCGTGGATCCTACCCCTGGACATTTGTTTTAAATGAACTGAGGGCTTTCGCTCTTCTAGTATCAGTGATGTGCACTCAAGACAGAGCCACTGGCACAGATTTTAAACTTCTAAATACATTTGCTTTTTGGTTAATACACAGTTACTGACAAAACATGTAGAAGGTATCTGCAGTAATGAGAATACTGGGTCCCTGCCCTTTGGCATTGTTTCTAAAGCAAAGCCAGGTCAGTTACACTATGTGAGGTCAGCCTACAAATTATAAAGTACTCTTCACAAAGCAGAGCATAACATAATTAGACCTTGTAGAAACCCATGGCTTCTATCAAACATGGGGGTTGGGATGTAGCGTTAACTCCTGCCTCCAAGGACCGTGCAGCCCAGTTCTGTGCAGGGGCTGAGACAAACGTTCAGAAAGCCACCGTTCCACGAACCTTACTCGATCGTGCTGCTTGGAACAAGAATTGTAGTCTGACCCAACCAAGCCTTTGTTTAGTTGTCTAAAACAGTATTTTAATGTTCTACGGCGATTTCTTGAACTGAAAAAACCTGAGTGGCTAAACCGTCCTTTCCTGAAATGCTTGATACCCTTGGGTGTTATGTGCCCAAGTTGATTTCAACTCAGACTCTGCGTGACAGTCGGGCGGCCCCATGGGGTTTCCAGGCCGTCGGTTCTGTGGTGATCTTCATAGCACCTCCTGGCGGTGCCACCCTTTCCGTTAGCACTGAGTACCCCACTCGCTTGAACTACCTGGGTTCCTTATGGCCCCTAGTTTCAGTCACCAAAAAAAAAAGGAGCTGCAGGATGCCAACCGCAAATCTGCCATTCAAGCGCCATCCAAGAAAGATGGGGCCATCGCTACTACAGATCTAGTGTCGGAAATTCTCATGGACGGTCTCTCTGTCCTGCAGGGTCGTCGAGTTGGAACCGATTTAATGGCGATGTGCAGAGGGACTGGGCAGACAGGAATGAAGCTATTGTAGCTATCCTATTAAAACTGACCACTGGATTTCCAAAATTCAAAGCAAACCAGAGAAAAATGACAGCAAATAGATAATACAAGAGCCATTGGTTTTTACTGTGCTTCTTCGAAGACCAAGGCCAATGTAGAAACAATAGATACTCTACAGCACATCACCAATCCAACGAACGTTGAAATCCAAGCTTCCCGAAGTGGTCAAGTTTCAGTCAATACTGCCTGCTCAGCTCAGTCTTCAGATGGCGGCCGGGAAGATTCAGTCGCTGCCGCCCGGGGTGTCCTTGGGGTAGGTCCGTGCTTGGCTGGGTCAAGGCTCCGAAGTCGGAGTCCGCTTGTCAGACAGGCAATGCTTTAGTGAGGCCGGTGCTAGGGGCCAGACGGCCAAGTGCGAGGCGCAACATGGTGGCTCCGCCCCAGGGCAGCAAGCTGACCAGTACCCCGAGCAGGGCTGCCATCTGTGCGCATGCGCCCAGCACCGTGAACCCTGTACTGCGCAGGACTAGCGCAGCGTAGAGCGTGGCACACAGCGCGATGACGTAGCACAGCACGGCCGGGGACGGGGCTTCCTCCCCGCGCAGTAAGCGTCCGCACGCCGCGCCGCCGCGGAGCAGGGCACCGCCCACCAACGCCAGCACCGAGCCCAGCGACCACAGCAGTGCGAACTTGCGGGCGCGCAGTAGCAGCACCGGCGCGTACAGCGCGGCCAGGCCGAAGCAGAGGGCTGCCAGCAGCAGACACACGCCGCTCGCTGCCAGCCTCTGCGTACGCGTCACACTGGGCAAGCACGGCCCGCTCGCCGGCGCTTGCTCTGCGGGGTTACGCGCCCACTCCCAGCGCAGGCTCGTCCTGCCCATCCACGTTCCTGCCGCCCCGTTCCTCGCTGCAGCCACCTCCGCCTGGTCCTCGGCGAGCAGCGGCACGGCGGCCGCTGACTCACCCGCTTTCCCCTGCGCTAGGTACGCCTGCAGCTGGCGATGAAGGTCCGCCATTTTGGGCGCGGAGCGGCACTTCGCGTCTCACTTCCGACTTTCCTTGGAGCGCTGGCGGAAGCAACTCGGTTCTCAGACTACTATTGGCTGGCTGGGGCGTGCGTGCGGCGCAAGGGGCGGGGCCTGCACCCGACCCTCAAACCCAGTCGTGTGCGTTCGATCTCGTAGGGACGTGTAGGGTTTCCACGGATGTAAGCCCTCCTGGGAGTACCTGGCGGACCTGCCACTAACCTTGTGGTTTGTAGTGTGGTGCTTATTGCAAAGCGCCACCATGGCCCCCCCAAGCCTGCCCAGTTGTGCTAGCGTAACTGGGCAGCTGAGAACCTGCCCGTTTAGTCTGCGCTGGCTCTAAGGTCGCTGACTCGAACCCACTAGCTACTTCACAGGGAAAAGATGAGGCTGTTTGCTCCAGTAAAGGTTTACAGCGTTGGGAACTGTACACAGGGTTGCTATGAGTTTTATTTTTATTTTTTCTCACTTCCACACTTGGTAGCCTTTACTTTGTTAGTCTTCAAGATTGAACTGATAAAGCCATATTTCATCTTCTAAAAATTTTCAAGGACAATTTTTCTTTTCAAGGAAATGCTTTAGAGTATCTTGATCCCATTTATTTTAAAATTTTTCTTTTTCTTGGGAGGGTGGAGGGAAGGTGGGATAGAAAGGGGGAACCGATCACGAAGATCTCCATATAACCTTCCTGAGGGACGGACAACAGAAAAGTGGGTGAAAGGAGACGTCGGAAAGTGTAAGATATGACAAAATAATAATTTTTAAATTATCAAGAGTTCATGAGGATGGGGGAGCGGGGAGGGAGGGGAAAAATGAGCTGATACCAAGGGCTCAAGTAGAAAGAAAATGTTTTGAGAATGATGATGGCAACAAATGTACAAATGTGCTTGACATAAAGGATGGATGGGTGGATTGTGATAAGAGTTGTACGAGCCCCCAATAAAATGATTTTAAAAATAAATAGTAGAGAATTAAACATTTTCCACTTTCTATCCTACCTTCCCTCCACTTATTAAAAATTTTCATCGAAAGCTTTGTTCCTGTATCAATCAGTTGTGGCACCCATTAACTAGAAAATGCTCAACTTTAAATTTTCAGTCAATTTTGTAAGCTGACCAATTGAGATATCAAGGGTGTTGACTATTATTTTTGCTGTTAATCAGAGGTACACTTTAATTATGGATGAACAAGATTGGTTTTAACTTCCAAGTTGATAACGATGCTGCTACAGGACTCATTTTCAACTGTCCCTTCTTATAATGAGTTATCCCTTTGCAAATGACCAGTTGAATATATCAGCTCAGGTGGTGGTGAGATGAGCCTCTAGCTGACCTTGGCAGATATCCCTCTTTTGTCTCAGTGGCTCTACAAAGCAAAAGCTTATCTGTGAGTGACAGTAACTTGACAGGCCATGGTTAAGTTATCTTCAAAAATAAATATATACGTGTGTGGGAAATTCACAAACCAGTGCAACGGTGAAAGATTTGAAGGTCCAAACCCATAAACCATGTATACATAGACTCTGATCTTTAATAAACTGGTTTGCCAAACTGGATAAAACCTGAAACTAGCAGATTGAATGCTAAGGGTGTCTTCATAGGCTCTGCCTCCTGAGCCTTTTCAGGTACACATGTTAAGAAGTAACCCGTGATCTGTTAAATAGCTAGGAAATCCAATTTTTTTTTTTTTTGCAAAAGCATTTTATTTTAGTAAACAAAATACTTCTTTTTAGAGCATTAAAAAAAAAACCCACATGATTTTAAGCTGTAATAGGAGTTTATTCTGACACGTCATTCAATAGTTAGTCTGATTTCTTCCACCAGAGCTGACATGTAAACTGTACAGTCTTCGCTTTCCCGTCATCAGTTTCCCTTCGCTGCGTTCTTTTCAGCCGCCAGTCTAAGTAGTTTTCTTCTAGTCTCCTCTTTTGGTAGATCCTGACTCGGCAAACGCCAGGCAGGATAAAGGACCTGCCGGCTCACCTGCAGCGCTGAGAGCCAGGCTGCCTGGCGCGGGTGCCCAGCGAGCCAGGTCAGCCGCGGGTTCCCGGCACACAAACCTCCGCACCAACTCTTTATGCATCTGTTCTCAACCTGTGGGTCGCGACCCCTTTGGGGATCGAAAGACCCTTTTCACAGGGTCGCCTGAGATCATCAGAAAGCACATTTTTCTGATGATCTCAGCAAGCGAAACCCATGCAGACACGCCCACATACCCGGCGTGAAGACTGACCATGCTACCCCATGCTTCAAGACAAAATTTCACTTAATTGTCGTTAGAAATAAATATAATATATGACATTGTTTTTGTGATTAATCACTATGTTTTAATGATGCTCAATTTGTAACAATGAAAATACATCCTGCATGTCAGATATTTATATGACGATTCATCACAGTAGCAAAAGGACAGTTAGGAAGTAGCAACGAAAATAATTTTATGGTTGGGGGTCACCACAACATGAGGGCCTATATTAAAGGGTCGCAGCATTAGGAAGGTTGAGAACCACTGCTTTATAGCCTTTTTCTTTCGCTTCATTTAGTAGTTTATTTTAGTAATCATTTCACTGGGGGCTCTTATAGCTCTCGGAACAATCCATAATTCAGTTGTATCAAGCACACTTGTACATAATGTTACATTCATCATTTCCTTCCTACTTGAGCCCATGGTATGAGCTCCTCTTCTTTCCGCCTCCTCCTACCTTCGTGAATCCGTGATCAGTTATGTGTTGTTATTTTGTATCTGACACTGTCTGTTGTCTCCCTTCACCCACACTCCTATTATTCGTCCCCCGCGGAGGCGGGGTGGGTGGGTGGTTATATATCTACAGCCTTTTTTCTGTCTTGTTAGGTTTCGGGATAGTTTTTGTTTCTCTGCGCCCAGAATGGACACAGCAGAAGCACGGTTGCAAGTCCAAGTAAAATTTCAAGAGTGAAAATAAAGCTTTTGCTAGCACATTCTCACGGGCAAAAGTGGGCTAACTCCAGAAAGCATGGAGAGTCATGTGGAGGCATGCGTGGAGAGACTAGCAAAGGGGGTCAGGTAGAAGTGAAAGAGGGGAGACCGTGCCGTCTCCGTGAGGGAGAGGAGAGGGAAGGGGGTCGAGGTGGACCCAAAGCCTTCACTTTTGTGCCCGCCTGCCTTCCCTGACCGGTGGTCGCCGCATCCACTTGGAGGGCAGGGTTCTGTGCATCGGTGAACTCTGAGTGGATGTGCGGCCGTGTGACGTGCAGCGTTCCTGGTTCTACCTGTGCAGGTCCAAGCTTTGAGTGGGGGTGCAGAACGGTGCGGGGAGCTTTGGGTCTTTACAGCACAGGCTCAAGCTCTGGGTCCTTCCTGCGGACGTCTCTTCCCATAGCCCTCTAATGTGTGCCTGCTTTCTTTTGCAAGGTACTCTGATCTGTGGCGTGGTTAGCTATTCATTGCTGACTGGGCCTTTAGGGGACAACTCCCCTTTCCCTAAGCTTCCTGCCTATCAAACCCACCAAAGTTTGATCTAATGTCAATAGAAGTTTTAAAACATTTCCTTGTTTCTTATTGTAGAACTCTTACAACAATCCTTAAAAAAATAAAAAAAAAACATACTGTTTATCAGACCTAAACCTAGGTACATCTTTTCTTTTTAAAGTTATGTGAACTTCAAGTTACAGCAAACATTTGTCAATTTATTTTAGTGGATAACTTAAAGCTCTTGTTCCTGAAGTTGTTTTATCACGATTAAAGGTCTGGATGATTTATCCCAAACTGCCTCATAGCTTGAAGCAGGGTAAGGACTGAGGTGAGCCAGGGGGTTCCATCCCATGACCCCTATAAAACCAGTGTCACACCCCAGTGTTGTTGGTGTCCTGAAGTCAGGAGGCGAGCTACTTTGTGAGTGAAGTGTGCTTTGCTTATTAAATCTTTGCTCTACTTGCTGCCTGGTCATACTGTCCTATCTTGATGTCTTTAGTGTATTACGACTTCATTTGTTCCTTATAATAGGAAAACAGTTCGATTAATAAGCACACACATGTTATAAAATCGAAGTTGAGTTCTGAAGGAGAGAAAACATCTATGTACACTTCATCTTATTATCATCCAGAACCCTGGTGGCATTGACAGATAGGAGACGGACAGCCCCCAAACAGAGTGAGGGAAACAGGCCAGTGTGGGGAAGCTTTGGGTGTGGCAGGATGTCTGGAAGGGGGAATCTCAACAGCCTCGGAAAATCCCACCTTAAACCTGTAGGCATCAGACCCCTTAGGCTGATTCTAAACTCCAAGTTCAGCAAACCCAAGACTTTTTGCCGACATTGCATGCTTGCTTCCTTGTCTATGCCCAGCCAATACCCAGCTGAGGGGGAAGAGTATGGCGAGGTTTATGATGGCACTGGAGAAACAGGACCAGCCCTGGGATTGGCCTGTTCTCAACCCACACCTGATAAAAGCCCCTAGACACAGCTCCCTCAAGCCCCACCTGCTGTGCCAGGCACTTTTCTTTCCAAACAAACTTTGCTTTCTGCTTGCCATTTGTGGTCAGTGTGCAGTTTTAATTTGGGGAGACTAGGAGCCCCTGGACACCTCAGAGCGCCTACAACCTTTGGGGGCTTCGACAGAACGTCTGGCTCCTGCCTGAGCTTCTGACTTTGTCTTCTTTCAGCTCCCCCGGAAGTGCTCAGGTCTGTGTCTGCAAAGCAGCACAGGAAGCAGGGGGCAGTGGCAGCTATACCTGGGCTTGCTCTCAGACCCTGGCAGATAGCCCTTTCCTGAGTCCGTTCTCCCTCCTCCTTTTAAATCCCCGGTCTGACTGACAACCAGGGGACACAAGTAACCAATAGCCCCAGCGTCCTACCTGTTGCTGGCAGGTCAGGTCATGGGTCACAGGCTCTAGACTATCTCCTGGGCAGAGAAGGAGATGTGTGTGCCATCGCCAACACCTCATGTTGTTTCTGGGTGAACACATCTCACGGAGTGGAGGTCAATCTGAAAACAATAGATAAAGTGGTTGACTGG